CACTTGATATTCTGCAGGCCCTGAAAGCAAAGGAAGCTGGCATTTTATTTAAGGCTCCAACAAGACGTGCATCTCTGTAAAATCTTTGAAATTTCCATTTTAAAGTATTTTGTACACACGGTTTAGTGTGGGTACCTGGAATGCCATATTAGGGATGTAAACCAGCTGATTGTGTGAGAGGGAGAGCAGGTTGAGGAAGCCCAGCTGAGAGAACGCTCCAGGCTGGATCTCAGCCACACGATTACGGTCAATAATAAGCTGCTTTAGTGAGGACAAACCGTCAAATGACTCCTAGAATCATAAAAAACCAAGGACTGCACTGAGAATTGTTGGGTAGACTTCTTGAAGTTAATTTTAGTTTTTAAAAACCACTGAAAATGATAATGGGATATATGTGGTTTAAGTCTAAGAATACCTGGTAGAGGATGTCAATGTTGTTGTTGGCAAGGTTGAGGAAGACCAGGCGACCGAGGCCACGGAACGCCCCCTCCTTCACCTTGTGGATGTTACAGCGCTGCAGCGACAGGTGAGTCAGGTAGGGGATGTGCATGAAAGCCCCAGTGGGGAGTTCCTGTATGTCATTACCTCGAAGGTCCAGTTTCACTGTTATCTATGAGGAAAACAGATTATATATTAGAGGGTAATAATAAGTATTTAAAAGGTACCACAGCTTTGGAAGTTTAGCCGAAGCCTTATCATTCTCTAACAGGGGTATTAAAATTTGTATTTCCCTGGAAATAAACACCTGTTCAACAGAGAATTGCTTAAACAGCCCCATTTTTGTGGATTGTTTAAACACCACAGCTTACCTGAGTAGCTAATCATTTCTATCTAGACTTCTTAGATGTGCAGCAGACAAATGTGCAGCAGCTGTGTGATGCTATCATCCTAATATGGACCAAAATCTGTGAGGAATGTTTTAGGACCTTGTTGAATCTGAGCGGATACGACCTGGTGCTAGCAAGATGTACCTAACAAACTGACCAGTAAGTGTATATGTTTATAGATACCTCATCAACAGCAGGAGGAACCTGGGTCAGGTTCTTGTTGACACAGGTCACAGTGAGTTGGATTTGGTCGCAGAAACACTCCTGTGGGCATTTTGCTGCTTGGACTGCAGGGACGCAGAGGACCAGCAAGCTGATCAGCAGAATCCAAAAGGTAACGGGAAGGTCCATCTGTAGGGAAAAGCCTGATTCACTCTTTTAGTTTGGCCACATAACATGTCAAACTGCAATGCTAAATGTTTAAGGTGCACGTACGCCAACAAATTACCGCTGATTCGGTTTTTTTATTTTTAGCGGCGATGTACCGTAATAGAAAATTTATTCATGCATACAGCTTTCCAGTTTTCTGTTCATGTTGGCAGCTTCAACATTAATTTATATGCATTTGGATAAAAAAAATGTATTAATGTAGTAATATATCAGTTACAGGGGCAACTTCTTTTAAAGGTATTTTGTTTTGTTTTTTACACTTGCTACTTTAAGCACATTTTTATTGACAGATTTGCATCAACGTGTTATTGATGCAAGAGATGTCATTGTAATAGATTCTCATTAAACCAAGAATAAGTCTTTTAACCTGCAAAAAGGCTGGAAACTGTCCTTGGTTAGTAGAATCATAAGGAATGTCGTTCTCGGAAGAAGTTATTATTAAAATGTTATTATCACTGAATTCGGACACCGTAAGAAAAAGCTGTGTGTCATTCAGTTATTTTTCCCTTTCCAAAGCTGAAGGTAGTTTAAAAAAATCCTTCTGCACTTTTGGGGATTAATGCCATTTGGTCAGATTGGTCTGCCGTAGTCTTCACTGGAATGCCTTAAAACCACATTCCCATGTTGGATCAACAGTGCTGAGCCACAGGAACGGACATGAAAAGCTTCAGAGCTCCACACACTACAGTTTGGACTCTGGAAATGTGGACACGTGCAGTATGCTATGGCTAATTTTTTTCTGTTAAAACTGTGACCTCAAAGAAACCATTGACCGCACAACACAAACGGCAAATTCATGAACTTATTTGCTATGTGCACTTGAAGTCAATGATAAGATTGGTATAAAAGGTTGAAAATACTTGGTGTCATCTCAAGCAGCAGGGAAACGAAGCTGTACCACACGTTTAAAAAGAATTAAACTGCTAGTTTCATAGTTATTCACGCCATATTTTTTTCGAGCAGCCACCTGAACAGAAAGAGGCCCAGAGAGGAAGGAATTTCCTCAGTTTGGGCTGTTTGTCTTCGTTCCCCCGGGATCAACAGGTCCAAACCGCGGAGGAGCAGGCGCACCGGCCGTGCACAAAGACGCACTGTCTTTCTCTGCCGCGGCTGTGCCAAAATGCGTTTCCCCTGAAAATACACGCCTGTCCACCGGGCAGTGCGACATAGCAGGCACTGTACAGCCCCGAGACACTGATTTAGCCTAAACTACGATCATTACAAAAAATCTGAATATGATTTGTGTAGATATCAGGTTACATTTGTTCAAGTCAAGTGCTTATTACAAAAAAATACTAAAGTTCGTTATTAAAAGACGATACTTTCCTTTTTGACGCAAAACAAAATGCAGGACTAAATACCTGAGCATCGGGTATCAACCGTTCCGGCCTGTTTAAGTGTTGCCCGGACACCATTACAATCGTTTGAATGTGTGTAATACTTTTAAATCCGGACATTCAATGATAAGAAACCCCTTTACGCACAAACTCACCGTGGCGGTTCCGTCCAGCTGCAGAGCGCTACTGGTCCCTCAGTCACGAACTCCGCCGCTCTTCCCCTGCTTGTCGCCCCATCCAAAAACAAACTCCGTCTATCCCCTTCTTTCACGTCTTCTCCTTGGCTACCTCCACCTCCAACCCCTCTGCTGCAGTCTGCTCACTGAGCCTCAGAGTTTATTAAAGGACTAGTTCAGCCCAAAGTGAGAAGAATCAGTCACCTCAGAGCCTAAAGTCTAACTTTCATATGCACCACTAAAAATGAAAGTGACATTAAAAAAATTAAAATATGTAAGAACTCTGATCACAGTGTAACACAGTTAAAATCAGAAGCCATAAATGATTATGAATCCCTTTCTCCTGCTTTGGTTACAATGGATCTGTGAGATCTCAGATGAACCAGACCTGGATCAGGTGATCAATGAACCAGTTTGTGTAATTTGGTGTCAGGTGCAGTGATCCATAATGTCCCAGAGTTCTTTGAGGATCGGTGAATGGCATTGCTGACTTTGTTGTTCAGGAACAGCATAAAAACACTGGTCACATGAGGCTGGGAATTATTCTCCACCCACATTTGGTCGGAGGATTTCATTCTGGTACCTACAGCAGTCAGGATACCAAGTCGAGGTCTGTGTTCTCTTCAAGGATATGCCTACCCAGACCATCTCTACCACACTGCCAAACTGGTCATGCTAAATGATATTATGGGGCTGTTACTCCTCATACACTTGAGCAGCCACCGGTCCTGCTGCTAGGTTGATGCTATTCTACAGCCCTATCCACGGCTCCTCACATCTCCTCCACACTTTAGTCTGTAACTTCTTGTGATAGCACTTATGGATATGTCATCCTGGAGTTGGACTTTCTGTGAAGCCTCAGTGCGATGCAGGGACAGTCTCATGCAGTAGTGGCAAGAATCAGTCAGGAGGGATAAGATCAATGATCTGTGAGGAGGGGGGTTTATTCTGTTGCCTCTCATGCACCTGTTGTCACTTTTATTTACACCAAAGCAGGTGAGCTACACTCATCAGTTTCTGCTTCCTAACTGGACAGATTATATTCCTTAAGTTTAACTCTTTGTGTTTTGATGTGATGCTCCATTATTCATCTCACCTGTTTTATTCAACATGGATGCTTTCTGAGGACCGATACTAATAAACATCACCACTCAAAAAACCCCCAAAACATTAACTTTTCTTAGAATGAGTTCAAAGGCGGCTGTTGCAGACA